ATCCTGGGGTTGTGATTTGTTCAGGGACCAAAGTTACGATGGATTTGAATGAGAGGGATTTATGACTGGACCTCAAGAGTTCTGGTTATCATAGCATCTTTGCAGTCATGTGATTGCAATCCAGCACTCAATTCTTGGCTTGCAGTTACATCACAGCAAACCACAATCACTTTTAAGATTTCAATTTACGACTCTTTCTGCCAGCTTCTCGCAAACAAAGTCAATGATGAAGCCAGCGGGAGGTCACAAGTCAGTTCCCTTTCTTTTTTGCCCACCCACATTCTATAGCAGGGGTGTCAAACAGAATTTCTTTGAGGGATGGATCAGGATTGTAGTTCTCCTCTGGAGGCTGCCACGGGTCAGCTGGCACAGTGCTACAGGAGACCATGGAGGCTGAAAACAGGTTGTGGGGGGCTTCACATGCCCCCCCCCACTCTCCATTTTGGCCAGCAGAGTCACTGCAGGACGGTCCTTTGCTATGTCCAGGCCAGCCCCGCAGGCCAGATCTAAGCACCCTGTGGGCTGGATCTGGCCCGCGTGCCCCTGCTCTATAGTGTCTGCTCATGGCACCCTCCACTGCGCCTGAATGCCCATCTGCTCTCTGTAGCATATTTCCATAGTAACCATGGACCCGCCCACATTCCATAACATGTCATGTCACATCCATTTACCTGTAACACTCCCCCCCCCCCTTTCATAAAGGTCTCATGCCCAGCTCTCACTTGCCAGCTTGCTTCCCTGGGACTCCCACCTTTTCCTGCTTAATGACTGGCATGGCCATGGGGTTACCATAGCAACTGGACTGCTGGGATTGTTGTTACTAAGCTATGCAATTAAGTAATGTTGCCCTTTATGGCCCCTTAGCATCCCTTAGCCATGCCAATTGCTGCTCTAAAAAGAACCGTGGTAAGGCCGTGGTTAAAATGCAGTATTGCAGGCTAACCCACTGCTCACTCCCAGAAGTTTGATCCCAACTGGCTCAAGATTGATTCAGCTTTCCATCCTTCCCAGGTGGGTAAAATAAGGACTCAGATTGTTGAGAGCAATATGCTGACTCTGCAAACCGCTTAGAGGGGGGCTGTGAAGCGGTATATAAGTCTAAGTGCTATTGCTATCTCTATAACCCAAGGACAACCTGTATGAAATTCTTCCACACAACAATTGACTTCTTCTTCAACATGTCTTCAACATTTCTTTGTCTTCAATTCATCCATCTAGGACTGAATCCAAAACAACTGTTGTGCCACATATTTTAGGACTTACATCAGGCTGAAACTTGTTGTTAGATGAACTTTCTTCAAAGACTCTGTGGAATGGTTTCATCTTGAAAGCATGAACATATTTTCTTAGAAAGTAAACGGGGAAAAAAAGCTTTTTGAGATAATATCAATTCAAAACATTACTATATAGTAGCTACATAGCGTAAGTATATGCCTGATACTTTTTACTAATTATAAAAAGAAAGTTCACAAATTATATTTGATACAAAGAGTATCAAGTTTTTACCAGCCCTGCCTGGTTCCTATAGGGCATTTATTTCCTCCTCACTTGTAATACCTGCTATTTTTATATTTTCTGTTTGATCATATTTTTGTGTGACACCCAAAGTCTCTCTTGGTGAGATGGGTGGCTGTATCTATTTGATTAATATAAAAATAAAAACCACTTAAAGCATGCAAGTCTTAATTCTGAGCAGAATCACTGGAGCTGCACAAAGTTAGGGGATGGGCTGTTTTATCATTGGTAGAATTTCTCAGCTCCTGGACTCTGCCTAGTATCTGCAGATGGTCAGCCACCACATCTATCAATGCTGAACTACAGTTTTACAAGGTTTTTTTTTTAATGGTGAGCAGGAACGGTACCATGCGGTGGTGAGATTCAATTTTTTTTACTGCCGGTTCTGTGGGCAAGGCTTGGTGGACATGGCAGGGGAAGGATACTGTAAAATTTCCATTCCCTCTCCACTCCAAGGGAATGTTACTGCAAAATCCCGATTCCCTCCCGATCAGCTGGGACTCGGGAGGCAAAAAATAGATGGGGGCGGGGCCAGTCAGAGATGGCATTTACCGGTTCTCCGAACTCCTCAAAATTTCTGCTACTGGTTCTCCAGAACTGGTCAGAACCCGCTGAATACCACCTCTAGTACCATGCCAACTTTTGTGATTGCAATGAACTTTATAAATTATTAAATACAATATGGGGAGGATATGGGTTAGGTAGCATTTATGTTCTCCTTTAGATATCTAGAAGCTATACTAGTTGGCTCATGGGGATTATCAGAATTTTCAGCAACTGTGAAAGCATCATGGATCGAGTTTTTTTTCCTGAGGATTTGAGGAATGAAACTCGTGGTAGTATGGAAGGAATTTCTGGCACAAATCATCATGATCTAATAACTTCCCAAGCTTACTCAATGCTGATTGCCAGGAACCATGGTGGAGAATCAGCCCTCCAAAGTAGTTCAGATTAGGAATCCTGTGTCATGTAGTCAGTACTAGTTTTACCGTAAAGCTATAGTAATTGAACCTTGCAAATCAGAAGGAGCTTCCTCCCACTCTCACTTATCTTCTCTAGAATTAGGAAGGAGCTGGCCGAGATGTTTTCTCAGGTTACACTTCTGCTCCAAACTTGGCCTCCTTCCTCTTGTCCATCAAGGCCATCCCCTCTGCCTTCTACAATTACGCCCAGAAAATATCTTGTTTTTAAGCTTCCAAGATACCGTCCATGAGGGAAGCAGGATTTATTTATGTATTTGATTTATGGTTATAAATCAAAAGGGTCATGTTTTGATCCATCAAAGCTCTTCTTAAAATGGTCAACAAACTGCATTATTTCTCTAGGTCCAATAGCCAAACCACGCTGTTATTCATCCATTTTTTATTTGTAAAATATCCTGACATTTCATCTTACCCCAAAATTTCAGCACGTGCATTAGTCAAGGCTGGTACTGAACTGTTTTTTCTCTCATGAAGATCAGAGGAACTTGGAGAGCAATGAACAGACCCAACACCCTCTGGTAATAGAGTATTCAAAGGTATGTAATCTTTGCCATCCTGTGAAGACAGGAGGAGAAAGTGATGAAAGTAATTGTTATAAAAGCAATGTAAAGCACACCTATATTACAAATATGTAATAGGTTTTAAAATTTCTCTACATATCTTAAAATAGGTTGATTCATCTCACAATTAAACTGAAACATTACAGTATCAGCTAGTTTAGCTCCCTTACATTCAGAATAATCATATGGCACAATCCAGGGGTGGGTTCCGGAAGTCACTACTGCCGCTTCGCTCGTGGGTGTACTGCACGTGCTTGATGCGCATTGCGCACAGATGCTCAGTGCCATAATTGCTCTGCACACGCAGAAGCAAAATATAAGATGGCGGTGACTACAGTGCCACCTGGAGAACCAGGTGTGGCGGGCCTGGGTCGCTCCCGGTTCCAGTGACCCAGGCCACCAAACCACTACCCATTTGGCCAAACCGGGCCAAACCAGTAGGAACCCACCACTGGCACTATCAACATGGGGATTGATGCATCCCAAAAGCATTTTTGGATGATAGCAATAGCAGTTAGACTTATATACCGCTTCATAGGGCTTTCAGCCCTCTCTAAGCGGTTTACAGAGTCAGCATATTGCCCCTAACAATCCAGGTCCTCATTTTACCCACCTCGGAAGGATGGAAGGCTGAGTCAACCCTGAGCCGGTGAGATTTGAACAACCGAACTGCAGAACTGCAGTCAGCTGAAGTAGCCTGCAGTGCTGCATTTAACCACTGCACCACCTCGGCTCTATGATATGCTTTTAACAAATGTTTCATAGAATAAACTTCCCATAATATACGTTCCTAAACACAGGGTTAAAATATATGAAGAAATGTCTTTAAGTATGCCATCTGCTACTTGAACTGAGAAATGATAAAACTCCATCAGTCACATCTTGCGAATTGGGTGTGACGCTCAAAAGTGGATGAATTGACTAAACATGCAATTAAATCTTTTGGGCAAAGCAAGTAGCTTATCTCTGGAAAAGATCATGACACCAGTCTCCACGATGCTTGAATCTGCTCAATTTCAGCCATGGAGATTGTTTGCATGTTGCTATAGTAACAGTGAATCTTACTTCTCCCCCCACAAAAAAATTTAAATATAAATATTCCATCTTTCCTTGAGCAGTGTGTCGTCAGAGTACCAATATTTCTGTGCAACATCCCTCCACAAATTAAACATTGTAATTCTCTTCCTTTCCTTCATTAACATATTTTCCAATAAAAATATAGTGACATTAAACATAGCTATTCTCATCATACTAATACTAACAATTATCATTTTATTCTCATTTCTATCTCAACATATTTTCTATTCTTCTTTTAACCTTTCCCCCCATTCCTTTTATTTCCAATATCCTTTTTATTCTCTAACCACTGGCAAAACACTTCCCACATCATATAATAATCAGTTTGTTATTTCTCTGATTGCTAATGTTAATCTATTCATTTCTGCACATTCCAGTATTTTCCTAATCACCTTCTCGTCAGTAGGAATCTCTTTTCTTTTCCAGTGGTGTGCAAATACAATTCTAGCTGCAGTTAATACATGAATAATTAAACATATAGTCAATTTATTATAAGTTTCAGGTAATATTCCCAACAGAAATATTTCTGGTTTAAACTCAATACGTTGTTTTATCATTTCTTCCAACCAGGTCTTTATTTGCTTCTCCACATGTCCACCACGTATGATACTAAGATCCAGGTATCTGGCGGCACGTCCAATATTTGACTAATTTATCTTTAAACATCTTTGCCAACTTCGCCGGCGGAAGGTGCCATCTATGAAACATCTTGTATAAATTCTCTTTGTATGCAGTTGACATTGTTAATTTGTAATTCTTATAGGAAGCTTACTTCTAAGAGAGGAGGAAAGTTGATATAGTTTCCACTGAACCTGTTCAAAGAAAAAAACTATACAAGACACGTCACAGTTTTCTACATACCTCTTGTACATTAGCCTGAAGTAAGTCCCCTAATATTTCCACCAGCTCTGAGAACCATGGCCTTTCATTTGGATCTCCTTGCCAACAGCTAAGCATAATATGGTATCTGCCAAAAAAAATCCCCAAAGAATTTTTAAAAAGGGATCACAAGCTTTACTTCTGCAGTGGCTTATCTCAAGTATATTCCATTTCATTTTGTGGACCACTTTTAACCCCTCCATTCTTCCATATGAGCTCCATTTGTAATACTTAAGATATGTGGCCAATTTTCCCTTTTCTTTTTAACAATTTTAATTGAATTAATTGTCACTGTAGTCAAGTCTTTCCACCTTGCTTTTGGTCTTCTTATTTTTCCTTCTACTTTTCTCAGCATCAGAATTTTCTCCAGAGAGACCAGTCTTTGTATACAATATAAAAGAAAGATTATTTGAGCCTGGTTATTTGTACCTTGAGTAAGAACTCTAATTGTATTTGTTTGAAGAGCCATTTGTTTATATATATTTCTTGATTATACATGAAGTTTCCAAAAGAGATATGAAGTGAAAAATGCTTATATACTTTGGCTCTGTGATGGTTTCAGGAGAAAAACATTGATTTTTGTTGTAATGATTACATAAGGCTGTTTAAGATATAGGATGGGAACAAATGAGGGCAGTGTACAGTTAGGAATGTTGGACTTGATGGGATGTTTTGTTGCCAGTATAAATTTCAAGCAAGGGAGTACTTTAATGGGAATTTGAATCTTGCATCATATTTCAATACTATAATTATCTAAAATTATCTAAAAGCTTTTCTAACTTAGTGAAAGCCTTCCAAGTACTGGCTACACTTTTGTTCATATCAGTCTTTCATATTTTCCAAATTTATCAAGTCTCTGTACTGATTTTCAAGGCAAACATCAGCAGCTACTTCAGATACTGTATTTCAGTATCTGATAATTTCTGATCTCTTCCTCGAATTTCTGTTATTCTTTTAGCATACACACAACCATTTGCTAGAGCCAGGCAGAAAAATTAATTCCACAGTTTTGCCACTGGACAGCTATCCATAAATTTTATCATGAATTTGTATTGGCCGAACACCTTGGAAGTTGGAACATAAAGGAACAAAATGTTGGCAGAGTGTTTTATTCTGCTGCACATGTGCATTGTTAGCTATCGATTAAGAATCCCATCTCTCTGTACAGCAGACTCCAGGGGGGCTATAAAAGTCATATTAGAAGAATATGGCTAAAGCTTAATGGAATTCCTATAGTTGTTTGGGCAACTTATATGGTAAATAATGTCTGTTTCAAAAGTAGGTTCATTTGGATTTGTCGTTTGTTATCATGACTGGTGATAACTGAAAAGTTTTAAACAATTAGTCCCTTTTAATACTTTAAACAATACAGCCAAAATAACCCAAAGGTTTTTTTTTTCTTAAATTGTACACAGTTATGACAGCTTTAGAATTATGACTGATTCCAGGGAGATAGAAAAAAATTGTAAAACAAGTAAGAAACAAGGAGGTACAATCAATCCTCAACAGTGGATTATATTTGAGGTACCAGCAATACTCTACAAGCTCAGAATCAAAATTTAAAAATGGAAAGGAAGGGAAGCTACAATCTCCAGGCGACTACCATCAAAATCAGACAGTCCCAGACTTCTCAAATCTCTTCTATTCAATATTGTTCCCTTCCATTCTCTCTTCCTTTTGCAACATTTTAAAAGACTTCTTTCTCATTTCCCAGAAAAGGCGAAAGAAGATTAATCTCCCTTCTTCCATTTTACTTTTAAAACAGAAAGGAAATATATTACTGTAACGCGCTCTACATGGGGCTGCCCTTGAAGAGTTCGAAGACTTCAGCTGGTCCAGAACGCAGCCGCGCGAGCGATTGTGGGTGCACCCAGGTACACCCACGTCACACCTATCCTCCGCGAGCTGCACTGGCTACCCATTAGTCTCCGGACCCGCTTCAAAGTGCTGGTCGTTACCTATAAAGCCCTACATGGCATCGGACCTGGGTACCTGAGAGACCGCCTCCTGCCGATTACCTCCCATAGACCGATCAGATCTCAGAGGCTAGGTCTTCTCCGAATTCCATNGGTTTAGTCGAGCGCGGTTTTGTGGTGGAACCGTGCAGAACGGATCACACTTTAGATTGCATTAATGCAGAAATATTGAAAGTTCTAAAAGGTTCACAATCTTTTAAACACCACTGTAGATTGTGACATGTATTGTGAACCCTTCTTGATCTTTACAACATGTTTAAAAGAAGCAGGCCCTGTTGTTTTTCCCCATTTGTTTCAAAGTGCAGTACGAAAAACAAGCAGCATTCAGAGTACAGCTAAAAGACAATCTGCTAGGGCTAAGCGGATTGTATAAATTGACAAGTGTGGATTTGTATATGTCTTAGGATCATAAAAGATTGATAAGTGTAAATGTCATTTAATCAAGTATGGAGCTTTCTCCTCCACACCCCCACCCCCCAAAAAATCTGGAGCACCCAAACCATCCCTCTTGAGAAGGTAGGACATCATTGCCCTGCACAGAATCCCATTTAAAATAGCTGCACACTAAAAAGGCACTTTGATGTCACATTAGCAACAGAAGGTATGCAGATGCCAATTAGCAGAAAAACAGCTTGTTAAAATAATGAATTGAAAAAATGTCTATTGGCAGGTCAAACTGACTGGCAACAGTTTCTCCTCTGCAACTTATACTTGATGAGGGCATTACTGGTGGGGGTTTTTTGGTGTTTTTTTTTTTTTTTGCAAATTAGCACTTCTGATTAAATGTGCCAGAAAAATATAGTAGAGAGAGAATAATGAGACATTTGGCGAGATGTGATCATTTGCTGAAATTGATGAGGCTGAAGATGATAGCATTCATTTCAGGGGGAAAAAACAACAACACATGAACCAGGATACAATCTTATGTTTAATGGAGATACGAAGCAGCCTACAGAAATGGAGGATTTCAAAGCGATTAGAATGGGATCTAGCAAGAGTTACCATTATAAATGGCCTCTTGGATAAAAGCTTTGTTTTAGAAAGCGGACAAATGACTGCAAGAAAAGAGGGGAAATAAAGCAAACAATAGCAAGGGAAACTTTTAGGTTTAAATTGGATACTGCAAGATCCCAGAAGAGAAAGTCCCACATCTTGACGGTCATGTTTAAAAGAAGGTACAGCTTCTATAGTTGACATTCTTACTTTTCGAGAATTGTAATTCTACCTGCTTTTCAAGCAACAGCCAATGCATGAGAGACGGTAAGTATTATCTGTTGGCCTCTGCAGTAAAAGAAAGGTTGCGCTGTTCCTTCATAGGACAACTGCCTAATTATCTACTAACTAACTAATGAGCTAACTTGGCATTATCTAAATATCAAGGAGATAAAACTTTGTCCTAGAGATAAATGTTGCAGCTAAGCCATCGTAAAGGAGCAGACACAGCAATGGCCTCATGAGGAGTTCAAAAATAAGAGGCAGACAGCCAGCAAGTTGCATAATACAAGGGAATAACCTGAGGCCATTGATCCAAAATACCCAAGAATAACCATGTGTGACAAACCAGAGCTTCTACGGACTCCTTTGTAGCGCCAAATGAGCTCTTCTAATCTGGTCCCAATTTCATTCTCTCCCCCCCCCCACAAGAAATGGAGCATTTTATGGTGTAGTCCTTTGTCCTGGAGCTCAGCATTACCATGTAGTTAAGCATTTGCTGATTAGCAGCCTATTTCTCCATTCTTTCCCCAGTATGTTATATTTCTTGATCTTATCACTAGGATAGATTAATTCCATGTTAGCAGTCTTTTTCAAGAGATTATCAGAACAAGATATGGGGTTGTTGATGTACATTACGGTTACTGTTCCTTCATAATATTTTACCTACTCCTAACATTCATTGCGCTCTACATGGGGCTGCCCTTGAAGAGTGTTCGAAGACTTCAGTTAGTCCAGAACGCA